AAAAAAAAAAAAATAGAACCACCATATGATACAGCGATTTCACTTCAGGTACAGACTCCTCAGAACTGGAAGCAGGGGTTCCAAGATGGCTGGGTGCCCATGCTCGCAGGGGATTACTCACAACAGCCAAAAAGTAGGGGCGACTGAAATGTCCATCAGCAGATTAATGGACATGAAATGTGGTACAGAAAGAAACTGCTCTCCAACATCAAACGAGTGGGCTTGTCTCACACCAATACCAGTTCTCCAATTCTCAGAACACCATGCGGTGTCCAATCATCAATGGGAGGCTAGCACTAGATACCCAGTTAGTGCAGACCCACATAAGGGCTCAGTCCTATAGACGGCCCCACTTCAGATGGCAATTTCAAGTCCAGGCTGCTGGCACTTCTGACAGACCAGCTATAAATTGAGGGTTTACATAATCTCCTCCTCAGATTTGATCATTTGGTTTAACAGCTCACAAACTCAAGGCAATTTTTTTTTGGTACCAGGGATCAAACTCAGGACCTTGCGCTTATGAGGCCAGGTATGGTGCCACTGAACTAAATCCCCGGCCCTGAAGGCAATATTTAATTATGCTTACTGATCCTTTGTAAATAACTGGCACAGTGGCTGGGTGTGGTAGCGCATGGCTGTAATCCCAACACTTGGGAGGCTGAGGCAGGAGGACTGCTGCAAGTTCCAGGCCAGCCTGGGCTACACAGAGTCCAAGGCCAGCCTGAATTGCACAGCAAGACCCTGTCTCAAAAAAAAAAAGTACCTTGGGGCCGGGGATTTAGCTCAGTGGTTCTACTGCGTGCCTCGAAAGCACAAGATCTGGAGTTCAATCCCCGGTACCCACCCCCAAAAAAGAAAAAAAGTGCCAGGCCTGGCCTAAACAAACAGGACAAAGCAAACAAGCTGCTTTCAGCAAACAACAGCTGTTTCTCAGTAAATAGGGCAAATGGACTCAAAAGGAAGTATTCAACCTCCCTGGTACTAAGAAGTCCAGTGATTGTCTCTACACACCTGAGCAGACCATCCTTGGGCAACCAAGTTATGAACATTTCACCCCAGATTCCTTAGCCCCTTCAATACCTACATAAGCCCAATTCCCTTCCTAGTTGTTGCTAATCTCTCTCTCCTGGTGTTAGCCCATCCACCCATGGATGAAATCTCTCCCACTAGCTGCTGCTATTTCTCTCCCCCAATGTCAGACCATCCACACATGAATATAAAACTTGGCTATTCCCAGCTAGCAGCTAGAATCTCCCTGATTTTAGTCTCTGTCACTGAAACAAACTATTCTTTTCCTCACAACAAAAAAGCCTATTTTAAGCAAGTGGATTCATGTGCACTGTCTATAACAAAAAGAACTGGCACAGTGACAATGCCAGTAATCCCAGCTACTTGGGAGGCTTAGGCAAGAGGATAAGGGTTCCAGGCTAGCCTGTGTGACTTATTAAGATCCTGTCTCAAAAATAAAAAATAAGAGCTGAGAATGTAGCTTAGTGGTAGAGTGCTTGCCTAGCATGCATGAGGCCTGGGTTCAAGCCCCAGTACTGGGGGGAGAGGACAGAAAATTTTACGTTACGGTATTTTACCACAATAATAACCTAACAAATAGCAAGCTAGCAAATAGACGAACACAACACTCCTACCTTCCTGTTCATACCAAGCTTCCAAAGAGCTACCAGCCAGCATTACATTTAGCACACACGGCAGGAGACAAGATACAGAATTCCTCTCTAGAAACTGATTTCTAAAAGTTCCATTTGCTTGTTTTACAACTCGATCTGGCTTTTCTGGATGGCACCTTATTTTTGTTCTCATTTTTACAAGTTACTTTAAAATGTTTTTAGTTATTTGAAAGGTATTTACTTTGTGGTCTAACTTTCCCCTTTAAGGTCCACTATTATAGCGGGAAGGCACTCCCAGCAAAAAGGCTCCTTCTTTTTCATCACTCAAAAACAAAGCTGCCACAGGCCAGCTCTGCTCGGGCAAGAGTCTCTTCTAGTCCACCACTGGCCTCTCATTTGGAAATGTGAGCGGAAACTATCTCCAGACATTTGAGAGTGTCTAAATTAGAAACAAAAATACATAGGGAAAAAATAAAGAACCAGCAATAATGCAAGTGAATAAAAGAAAACCTCAAAAACAAACAAACAAACAAACAAAAAGCATAGCTAATAGGTCCAGCAATAAGAACAAATATTCTGTGCAGGGTGATTTTTAAAAGATGGGGTTCCTGGGCCAGGGATTTAGCTCAGTGTTTCCACCGCCTGCCCCGTAAGCACAAGGACCCGAGTTCGATCCCTAGTACCAAAAAAAAAAAAAAAAGAAGAGGTTCCTAACAATTTAAAATATAGTAAGAGAAAGGTAGTTCAAGTGGAAAGAGTACCCCCAAAAAAGTAAAACAATAATGGGAAACAGTAAACAAAAGAAAACAGAAAAAGAAGGAAGAAATTTTCAAAATAAATATTTTCCATATTAAAAAAAAAAAACCCAAGGGTTAACAGTATTTCCTTAAGAGCTATAAAATGTAAAAAGATGTAAATTGTGACATCAAAAACAAAAAAAAATGCAGGGCTGGGGATTTAGCTCAGCGGTTTTGCCGCTTGCTGCGTAAGCGCAAGGACCCGAGTTCTATCCCCAGTACCAAAAAAAAAAAGGTGAAGAGAGTAAAATGTAGTTTTCACAAGCAATTAAATGTTATAAGTAGGTCAAAGGTTATATAGTTGGCTTTATGAAGGAGAAATAAGTCCAGAGATCTAATGAACACTGCAGATACCAGTTAATAATGTATACTACAATCAATATACAATACAAAAAATATATATAAAAATTTGCTAAATACACCCCAGATCTTAAGGAATTAAACTTCCAGGCTAAGTACCCAATGTGACATATACGTTTGGATCAAACAATAAAGCATGTCTTTAATCCTGACAGAAATAATTTTTTTTTTTGGTACCAGGGATCGAACTTGGGACCTTGCGCTTGCAAGGCAGGCGGTGGAACCATGGAGCTAAATCCCCAGCCCCTGACAGAAATAATTTCTAATCCAGAACCCAAACCAATCAAACTGTACATCAAGAGAGAGCTAGGTTAGCATGAATATATTTTTAAGAAATGCCACAATTCTTCTTCTTCTCAGGAAACTAAACCTGTTTTTGGAGGGGATGTGACCCACCAACATAAACAGTAATAAAAATGGCAAATACTGAGCACCCTTTGTAGTTGTTCATTTAATTTTAAAAACAATCCTTTGAGGCTGGCTATGTTGTGATGTCCACCATTGAGATGGGCCACTGGAATACAAAGAGGTTAAGTGTCTGGCCCCAGTTAACTTCCGGCTATCTTTCATTCAGGACTAGAGAGGACTACAGGCTCCAGAGACCCGGCGTACTCACGTGGAGCTACAGTTCTTGGTGAGGGACTAAATTCAAAAACAAAGAACACTGAAGTGGGAAATAGGAAAGGGAGAAGAAAAGTTCCTGAAAACATGTTAAAGGGAAGTCCCCAAATCACAACCAAGCCAGTGACTCCCAAATGACAAACTGGGTGTGTCTGCACACATCTGGGAAACTTTCCAGCTCTTCTGAAAAATCTGAATTTGATTATCTAGTAATCAGTACAGAGAAAACTAAGTAAACAAAATATAAATCAATTACTAACTTCAGGGAAAATAAGCTTTATAGAAAATATAATCATAGTACCTTAGTTGGCACATTTAAGAATAAAGAATAAGGGGCTGAGGATTTAGCTCAGTGGTTTAGGCCCAAGGACCTGAGTTCGATCCCTGGTACCAAAAAAAAAAAAAGAATAAAGAATAAGAAGTATCCATAAAATAATTCAACCAAAAGGAAAAAAAGGTGTGCTTGTATAGTAGCTAAACCCATAACGGGACTTCTGGAAGAAAAAAAATTCAACCACAAAAACAGCACTGCCAGGTATGATGGTACACCCCTGTAATCCAAGCACTCTAGAGGCTGAGGCAGGAGGATGGCTAAGAGTCTGAAGCCTGGGCTACATAGTGAGTTCAAGGTCACTCTGAACTACAAAATGAGACCCTGTCTCAAAAAAAAAAAAAAAGGAATGATAAGCATTTTACTTAGAAATATAGGGAAAAAGGCAAAAATTTAACAACAGTTTTTTGACACTCTGCATTCCATCCTCGGATCTCAACACCTCCTAAATGACTTATTAAAATCTGTATACAGTGGTAGAATGCTTGCCTAGCACTCCCAAGGCCTCAGGTTCAATTCACAGCATAAGGAGAAACAAGTGTCCTATCTGAAGTTTTTATACATTCAATTTCATCCTTTGGGCCCTAAATGCTATGGTTTTTGACAAATGTAAATGCTCATTAATTTTTAATCCAAGCATTTGAGAGCTACTACATAGGCAAATGAATGCACATGGATGCGTTCCAATAAAACTTTATGAAATTGTGTATTCTACATAATTTTTTTTGAGAGACAGGGTCTGGCTACGTAGTTCAGGCTGGCTTTGAACTCACTATGTAGCCCAGGCTGGCCTCAAATTTGCATGGGCTGGAGATTTAGCTCAGTGGTTCCACCGCCTGCCTCGCAAGCGCAAGGTCCCAAGTTCGATCTCTGGTACCAAAAAAAAAAAAAAAAAAAATTGCAGTGATCCTCCTGCCTCAGACTCCCAAGTGCTGGGATTACAGGTGTGCATCACCAGGTCCCGCTCCACATAATTTTCTTATACCATAAAATACTCCTCTTTTTTCCCCAACCACTTACAAATGAATAAATCATATTCAGCTCACAGGGCATACAGAAACAGGTGCCTGACGAAAAGCAAAAGCAGAGCTGGGGATTTAGCTCAGTGGTTCCGGAGCCTGCCTCACAAGTGCAAGGATCTGAGTTCGATCCCCGGTACCCCAAAAAAATTTAAAAATAAAAAAAATTACTCGGTTTTGGGCCGGTGATTTAGCTCAGTGGTTCCACTGCCAGCCTCGAAAGCACAAGGACCCGAGTTCGATCCCCGGTACCAAAAAAAAAAAAGAAAAGCAAAAGCAGACAGATGGTGCCTGTGCAGAAGCTGCAGACAGGAGATGCTCCTGTCAGTGAGGTTCCAAACAGCCCACATGGCCCACAGAACAAAGCTGCTGCGTCCGGAGAGCCTGCTCACAACACCTACCTCTTAAAAGCCTGATCTGTTTTGTTTGTGCAGGGTTGGGGATGGAGCCCGAGCCACACCCACACCCTGCAAGCTCTCCCCCAGCCAGCAACACTGGAAGCATGAAGACTGTTTTAACTCCTCGTCTTTCTGCTTGCTTCCTCACTTCCATCTTGAAGAACCACAGCCAGAAGCATGAGAGGAAGCAGAGAAGGGAAAAGAGAACCAAAGTGCAAACCAGTCCCTTCGGAACCTACCTTTAAAATAAAATTATCTTATTTTTATTTTTTTGGTACCGGGAATCAAACTCCGGGCCTCACGTTTGCCAGGCAGGCGCTGCACCGCTGAGCTATATCCCCAGCCCTCTTATTTTTATTGACTTCCGGTGCTAAAGAGTCAACCTAGGGCCTCAATCATGCTAAGCACACCCTCTACGACTGGACAACATTCCCAGCCCCTAGAAGACAAACTCGATGTGTCTGGGCTTTGTAATACCTGAGGCCAACTGGAAACCGTAAAACTGACCAGATTCGTGAAAGTGAGGGGGAACAGTAATCCACAACGTTTACAGCCAGTGGTCAGGAAGAATAAAGTTGCTCTTCATAGATCCACTAAAGACCACCTCATTTAATAAGTCAGTTATGTAACCAAAGGATTTTTTTTTTCACCTGAAGTATGTAAACAACTCTCAGCAATCGAAAGAGAAACGAAAGAAAAAAGAAAAATGGGCAAGCGGTATGAATAGGCAATTCAAAACCAACAAAGATGATAAAAGTGAAAAAAAGCTCCACTTCTCTAGTAGTCAAGGAAATGAAAATAAAACCAGATATAACTTCACACACACATATACACGCACGCAAGCACACGCACCCCAGGGTGAAAAACGTGTGCAAGTGCAACTGTGCCTGGGGCTGGCGACGACTCCAGGCTAAAAGAAAGAAAGAAGGGGCAGAACAACGCCAATTTAAGCACCAGTAGAGGTCAGTTTTTGCATAAGAACATCAACAGCGCCAGCGGCCACTTAAACTTTCCAGGATACACGTAACCAGGTGAGGACGCCACGCCCATTACTTTGAGGACCTGAAATCTAAATCCTACGGTGTGACCACTCCCTTCCACCTAAGCGACAAAAGGGACGCTGGGAAGGCGCTCCAAAAACTCGCACCAGACGCGACCTGGGGGTGGGAGAGCCGGAGAGGGACGCGGCGGGGCTGAAGGCGCTGAAGCCTCGCACGGCTCGGCTCACCCCGGACCCCGGCGGCGGACGGTCCCCGCAACCAGGCAGGGCCAGGGGCCCACGCCCGAGGGCGGGCGGGTCGCCGCCGAGGCCTCGCCCTCCGACGACAGCTGCGAAGAGATCCACACGGAACCCTGCGCCGAGGCCAGGGACCCAGCCCGGCCCGCCGCCTCCGAGACGCCCCGCCGACGGCAGGGAGATGGCCGCCCCCTCCCTGGCCCCGTCGCGGCCCCGGCCGCCGGGCCAAGCCGCAGTCGCCACCGCCCACTGCCGGCCCCCCTCGCTGGTCCGCCTGCCCGCCCGCCCTCCGGGGACCCGGCCTGCTCCACCCCTCGCGGCTGCTCACCGCGCTGAGGCGGATCCCGCTGGGTGGCTGCGCCGCCATCTTGAGTGAGCTACAAAGCCAGGACCGGCCCTGGCCGCAATCCGACTGGAAGGCGGTGGGGCGATTTTAGGAGGCGTGGCGTCCCGCCTACTTCCGGGGCGGGCATAACATAGTCCCCTCCCATTTGTTTCCGCCTCCAGGCAAAGTGACTTGCTGGCCTAAGCAGGGCGGGGTGTACTGGGAGCTTGGCTGTAGAGCGCCTGCGTGAAACGAGGATGTGGGTCAGGTAGCTGGACTTCGCGAGTGAAGGTAGGATTTGAAGCCTGGCGTCAAGTGTTGTGTGGCCCGGGTGAAGTAGACTCGAAGCACTTAACTTGCTGGAATGTGACTGTATTGAAAAACAGCGTCTTTTGTGCACTAGTGTCAATGTTCTTGAAGCCTTATTAACAAAATTGAGGACAGAAAACAATTGGTACTGTTTGGATTTGCCTGAAAATATGATCAGGATCCCTGTACCCTGATAGAGCCCTTTCACCCCTGCACATTTACTCGGCGTCAACCTTGAGCCAGTATTGGACTAAGTGAGGAGGGTGTAGAAATGAATCTGGCAAGGGCTGCCAAATAGCGAGGTAAAGAAGAAGTTGGAAGGTTTTCAGAAATATCTTTAGCGATTTTATTTGTAAAAAAAAAAATCAAGTGAAACAAATAGAAAACTTGCCTCCATTCGCCAGATGTAGGGGGTTGTAATCCTAGGAATCTGGGAGGTTGAGGCAGGAGCATCAAAAATTAGAGCCCAGTCCGGGCAGTTTTGCAATTTAGTAAGAGCCAATTTCAAGATTAAAAGGGGAAATCGAAGCCCCTGGGTTAAAAATAAAATTACCAGGGGGATTTAGCTGAGTGGTTCCGCAGCCTGCCACGCAAGCGCAAGGTCCCAAGTTCGATCCCCAGTACCAAAATAAATAAATAAAAATAAAATAAAATTGCCAGGTGTGGTGGTGCACAGCTGTAATCCCAGCACTTTGAGAGGTTGAGGCAAGAAGGATTGCAGCAATTTCGTGGCCAGCCTGGATTACATAGTGAGATCCTGTCTCCCAAAAAAGAAGAAAACATTTACCCCAGTCCTTTTCACCAGAATGGTGTAAACAATTTGGTGCACTTTACTCCAGACTTTTTGTTGTTTTGGTTTTTGGCCCTTTTTTTTCCAATTTTTTTTTTTTTTGCACTACTGGAGTTCGAACTCAGGACCTTGTTCTTGCCAGGCAGGCACAGTGCCACTGAGCTAAATCCCTGGCCCTCATTTTGGCTTTTTTTGAGCCAAAAGCTCATGGCAATCCTCTTGCCTCAGTCCCCCAAAGTACTGGGATTACAGGCATGTGCCACCTCACCTGGCTACTCCAGATCTACTAACTATTGTTCATGTTGTGGGATTCTACCTTTCCTATTCTCTATAAATTACTCCTTTTATATTTTAACTTGAGGCTTTTAAATATTTAGATATTTTTAATTAATGGATAAGAAACGTAACAACAACCCTGTATTCTGTCATGGCTGGCTGGATGTCCTGAATTTTGACTTCAGTTAAGAGCCAGAAGTCCATGGTGCAGATCTGGTGAATACGGTGGATGAAGACACAGCATCATGTTTTCACGAGCTGCCTCTCCAGTCAATGGCACTCTGCAGCAGCATTCACAATGTTTTTTTGTTTGTTTTGGTTTGGTTTGGGTTTTTGTCATGCCTCTTAAACACACAAGAGGATTTCCAGATCTGCTTCAGGAAGTGGCAAAAAACGGTGGATAAGTGTGTTCAAAGAAAGTAGAGTAAACTGGGTGTGGTGACGCACACCAGTTATCCCAGCAGGCAGGAGGCTGAGGCAGCAGGATTGCTATGAGTGTGAGGCCAACCTGAGCTGCTGAATATAGCGCGACCCTGTATGGGGATCAATGCCTAGATGATATGTGGAAAAAAAGCCCTCCCCCACCAAGTGCCTCCTAGTGTAAGCTGGGCCATTTCAGGTGGACTCCTGGACATCTCAGCCCGGAGGTGCCCCACTGGGGCCTGCTTGTCACCTAGAGAAACTTCACTCTGGGTTTTGATGTCATTTGCTGGTGCATGTTTGAGTTCACATTTTGTGGAAGTGGCGGAGCTGAGCAGAGGGCGGGAGCTGGGATGCATTCTCTTGTCCTTGAGGATGTACCTGCCCTGGGTTTTACAGTCACCTGGGTTAGTTGTTCCCTGGCATGATATATGGGAGGACCCTGTGTGAGTTGGGTTCTTTTTTTTTTTTTTTTTCAGTATGGGGCATCGAACTCAGGTCCTTGCGCTTGCGCAGCGGCGGAGAAACCACTGAGCTAAATCCCTGGCCCTTGGGTTCTCATTTTTAAGTGGAGGCAACAGAGTCTGGAATAGAAAGATAAGGAGATTCATCACCAGTGTTTTCATTTGTTCACTATGCTCCTGGAGGTTAAAGGTCATAAGGGTGGCCACTAGGGCAAATCCTGTAGTCTCAGCTCCTGTAGGGAGGCTGAGGCAGGGGAGTTGCTTGTGCCCAAGACTTGGAGCCTGGTGCTTGCAAAGTAAAGGGGCTTTGGCTTTAAATCAGCCAGTCAATACATACATACAGGTACGTTCAGAGAGAACGAGGGAAGAGTGAATTAGTATAAATATTAAAACATTGAAATGAAGATGTTGGGAGTGATACAGGAAGTAAAGCCTGGCAAAGCTGGCTGGGGAAATGAGCAATACTTGTCAATCACAAGATCCCAGGCCAACATGAGGACTCGTCCATGAAACTTCTCCCAAGCTTCCACCAGATGTGGGCAGCATAAAAGAAGAGCAGCCTTTTCCGAAAGCCAGTATCCTGAGTTTGCACTGTGGCCTGGGTGCTTTTCTGAGACAAGGTGCATACTTTTATTTTTGCTTTTCCCCTCTTTTTCTCTTTGTTCTGCCCAAGTTTGCTCTGCAGAGCTGGTTTCTTCCACATCCATTCACCCCCTACTTTTGAAATAAACTTTTGGCACCGTTTTTGGCTTGTCTCGTCCAATTCTTTGTTCCAGGCCAGAAGGACCTGGAATACTTCTGACTGGCTAGCCATTTCTACAGAAACTGCCACGTAACTGGAGAAGGTAGAGGTTAGTAACAGAGCAATTGCCTGCCACATAAGGGCCTGCCTGGGTTGGCTCCCCACTGCATGGTGGTGCATGCTTATAACCAGCACTTGGGAGACAAAAGCAGAAGGATCACCTCAAGTTTAAGGCCAGCCTGAGCTACATAGCGAGACCCTGTCTCAGAAAACCAAAATTTTTAAAAGCCATCCTGGTGCTCATCTACACAATCCAAGCTATTTGGAAGGCAGAGGCAAGAGGATCATAAAATCCCAAATGCTGGGATTATAGGCGTGTTCCACCACACCCATCAGTTGATATTTATAAACCAGCATGAACATGAACAAGGAAACAGGAAATACAAAAAACTACATAAGTTAACATATGCTTACTTCCCTTTACTTTCCTTGTTAGGGTTAAGGCAGAGAAGAGTTCTTTACCCCACAGGCCCAAACTGGCCTGTTTGGGAATTTGGTTCTCATCTGGCTCCTGATTTCTTGGTAGGTCAGGTCAACAGTTTTGTTTTTGTGATATGGGACTTTAGCATGAGTGACACCATTTTGGTTTGGTCTGATGGGCCCAGAGCAGGACCTCAACCCAAACCAATGTCCTTCCGTAGATTTTATTTAACAGGATGAATATGGCTTCCTAAAAATGACTACATCCTAATCCCTGGAACCTGTGAATTGTCACTTTGTATGGCATGGGGGCTTCAGAGATATGATGAAGTGTAGAATGTGAGGTGAGCCTGGGTTATCCAGCTGGGCCCTAGGTGATAATGCAAGTGTGTCCTAATATTTCTTTTCTTTTTTTTTTTTTTTTTTTTGGTACTGGGGATGGAACTTGGGACCTTGCGAGGCAGGCGGCGGAACCACTGAGCTAAATCCCTGGCAAGTGTGTCCTGATAGAGGGACTCACTGGAGATTTGGTCACAGAAGGCTAACTGACCATAGGCAGAGACACTTGAACATGTTTTGTGGCTGGCTTTGAAAATGGAAAGAGGCCAAGAGCTGAGGAATGCAGTTCTACAAGCAAAGACATCCATGCTGGAGCCTGAGAGACTGCAGGGGAATCCAGACCCTGGAGCTACCTTGGCTGCTGCCCCACGAAACTCACTCCAGACTTTTGCCTCCAAAAGTGGAAGAGGATACATTTCTTCACTTTGGAGCCACTAAATTTGTGGTGATTTGTTACAGCAAACATAGACAACACCCTTCATGTCCAAACAAATACCTATTTATACATGCAAATTCTTCCCCACACATGTTCCCCAGGTTTATTGTTGTTGTTGTTGTTTTGTTTTTAGTTTTTTGAGACAGGGTCTTGCTCTGCAGTTCAGACTAGCCTCAAACTCACTATGGAGCCCAAACTAATGCTGCAGTGCGAAACTTGTACAGAAGTCATTTTGCACACATGCGTGTATATCAGATACATCCTTGCAAGGGCAATTGCTGGGCCAAAAGGTAGCATCCAAGCTGGCATGGCAGTGCACACCTGTAATTACAGTATGTGTGAGGCTGAGGCAGGAGAATCTGGAGTTCAAGGTCAGCCAGGGTTAGGAAGTATACATCCACTTGTTACTTTGATAGAAACTGCCAAATTTCATTCACGCAGGCAAAACAAATGTTTTGTTCCTTGTTTTGCGTTTTTAGACGGTCTTACTATATAGTCCAGCCTGGCCTTGAACTCACTATTTAGCTCAGGCTGCTTCTGACTTGTGATCCTCCAGCCTCAGCCTCCACAGTGCTGGGATTACAGGTGTGTACCCCTATTCCTGGATTGGAAAGCATTTCTATTTCCACTGGAAATGCATAGGGAATCTTGTGTTCCTGATAGCTGCTAACTGGTCAGTGAACGCTACTCAGAGCAACTTTAATTTCTTTCTCATATTGCAGAGTTGGGCCTGTTTTCATATGTGTAAGAGTTGATTTTATTTATTTCCAATGAACTCCATATCTTTTGCCCATTTTTCTTTTTTGGGGGGTAGGAGTTATTTAAATAATAGAGATATCAGCCCTTTGTGATACTAATCTCAATTTTTACTTTTTTGTTTGCCATTTGGCTTTCATGTTGCTTTCCTTGATTTGTCTTTATTTGTTTGTTTGCAGTGCTGGGGACAGAACCAAGGGCTTTGTGCATGCTAGGCAATTGCTCTACTGTAGTGGCAGACTTACAGTCCACAGTATGGTAGCTCTTAGTAGTACAGCA